AATAAAATTCTAAGGACTCAAATCCTGAAGAAGATAAGTAATGCTGAAGGGATCTAGAGAAGAGGAGAATCAGTAAGGGATTTTGGAAGGATGTGGGTCTTTAGTTAGGTATTGGAAGAATAAAATAGTTTATAAGGGGGCAGTACTACAGGAGCGAGGAAATACATCACTAATGGAATAAAGGACTAAAAGATGTCTGTGAGTGGGATCATGAATAAAAATAATTTATGCATATAAGAAAAGGCAAAACACTGAGCAGGGGTTGGGCTTTCTGATTATTTAAGGACTTGAATGTCAAGGTATGGAATTAGATTTTCATCTTTAAGTCTTCCGAGGCATCCAAAGTCACCAAAATCTTTTGAGCGGGGGAATAATGTGATGCAGTCATAGTTGTTGGAGCCAATTTATAGTTCTGAACACTTAGAGAAGGAAAATGAGAATTAGGTGCTTATTTATAAGAGAAACCCAGCCACATCTCAATATTCACTGCACTATCTACTTTGCCCACCACTTATCTGTCAGTTTGTCATACTGTGGTGGCATGTGTGTTGCTGTCATTCTGGAAGCTACGCCATCAGTATTTAAATGCCAACAGCTGTTGAACAAGTTTCAGATGAGCTTCCAAATGAAGACAGACTAGGAAGAAGGAGAGATAGACTACTTCTCAATATTTAGTCACTGAAAATCTTATAAATAGAAAGTGGAACACTCTCAGCACCAGAATATTAACTTTTGAAACATGATGAAAAGCACTAGAATATTATCAGATGTAATGCCAGAAGATGAGCCCCTCAGATGGGAAAGGACTCAAAATATTACAGGAAGAGCTGCCTCTTCAGAATAGAGCTGGCAATTATGATGTGACTGGAAAAAAGTCTTTGGGCTCTTCATTTGTTGATGGGACACAACTCAAATAAAGAGAAACAGCTGAAAACATTCATTAATGATCAGAACATGGAATATTAACAGCATGAATCTAAGAAAATTGGAAATTTAAAACAATGAAATGGAACACATTAGTGAGCATTAGTGAGCAGAAATGCATTAGTATTGGCCATTTTGAATCTAAAAATCACATATTTGCTATGCTCATCATCAAAAATAACAGTTAAGTATTCAATAATAAGTATTCAAATGTATGCACCAACCACTAAAGGCCAGTGATGATGAAATTGAAGAATGCTGTCAACTTCTTCAATTTGACATTGATCAAGCATTCAATCAAAACATATTTATAATCACGCATTATTGTAAAGGAAAGGTTGGAAGGATCAGTAGTTGGAAAATATGTCCTCGGTGATAGAAATGATCCTGGAGATTGCAGGATAGAAATTTGTAAAACCAATGACTTCTTCATTGTAAATACCTTTTTAAAAAATAACAAAAAGGCAACAATACACATGGACTTCACCAGATGGAATGCACAGAGATCAAATCCAGACTACTTCTCTGGAGAGGGGTGGTGGAAAAGCTCCATATCAAAAGCCAAAACAAGGCCAGGGGCAGACTGTGGAACAGACCATCCATAGCTTATATGCAAGTGCTGGCTGAAGTTGAAGAAACTGAAAACAGGTTCACAAGAGCCAGCACATGACCTTGAAAATATCCCTCCTAAATTTACAGATCATCTGAAGAACAGATCCGATGCATTAGTCACTAGTGATAAAAAATCAGAAGAGGTTTGGGATGACATCAAAAGCATCATACAGGAAGAAAGCAAAAGGTCATTAAGACAAGAAAGAAGGCAAAGACCAAAATGAATGTCAGAAGCAACTCTGAAACTTGCTTTGCAGCATAGAGATGCTAAAGCAAATGGAAGAAATGGTAAAATATCTAAATAGAAAATTTCAAAGAACAGCTCAAGAGGACAAAGTCAAATATGATGACAGAATGTTCAAAGACCTGGAGTTAGAAAACCAAAAGGGAAGAAGACGTTCAGCATTTCTCAAGCTGAGAGAACTGAAGAAAAAAAATTAAGCTTCGACTTGCAATATTGAAAGATTCTATGAGTAAACTATTGAATGATGCAGAGAGCATCAAAAGAAAATGGAAGGAATGCACAGTCACTATACCAAAACAATGGTCGATGTTCAACCATTTCAAGAAGTAGCAAACTATCAGGAGCCAATAATATTGAAGGAAGAAGTCTTAAGTGCATTGAAGGCATTGGCAAAGAACAAGTCTCTGGGAATTGACAGGATACAAATTGAAATCTTTCAACAAACTGATGACGCACTGAAGGCACTCACTCATCTATGTTAGGAAGCCAACTACTTAGCCAACTGTCTCGAAGAGATCCCTATTTGTGCCCATTCCAAAGAGAGGTGACCCAACAGAATGTGGAAATCATTGGACAATATCATTGATATCCTATACAAGTTATGATTTTGATAAAGATAATTCCAATTAGCTGCAGCAGTACATAGACAGAGAACTGCCAGAAGTTGAAGCAGGATTCAGATGAGGATGTGGAATGAGGGATATCATTGCTGATGTCTGATGGATCTTGGCTGAAAGCAGAAAATACCAGAATGATGTTTACCTGTGCTTTATCAACTAGGCAAAGACTTTCAATTGTGTGAACCATCGTAAACTATGGACAATATTGCAGAGAATGAGTATTCCAGAACACTTAATTTTGCTCATGAGGAACCTGTACATAGACCAAGAGGCAGATGTTTGAACAGAAGAAAGGAACACTGAATGATTTCAAATTAACAAAGGTGTGCACCAGGGTTGTATTCTTTCACCATATTTATTCAATCTCTATGCTGAGCCCACAACCTGAGAAGGTGGATTATATGAAGAAAAAAGTGGCATCAGTATTGGAGGAAGACTCTTTAACAATCTGCAATATGAAAGTGATACAACCTTGCTTGCTGAAAGTGAAGAGGACTTAAAATTCTTACTGATGAAGATCAAAGACCACAGCCTTAGGTATGGGTTGCACCTCAAGGTAACAAAGACAAAAATCCTCACCACTGGACCAATAAACAGCATCCCTATAATGAAGAAAAGATTGAAGTTATCAAAGACTTCATTTTGCTCTGATCAACCATTAACATTCACGGTAGCAGACGTCAAGAAATCAAATAATGCATTGAGTTAGGCAAATCTACTCTAGAAGACCTGTATCAAGCTTTCTAGAGAAATTACATCAGTTTGAGAATTTAGGTGCACCTGGCCCAAGCTATGGCATTTTCAATAACCTCATATGCATTTGACAATTGGACAGTGAATAAGGAACACTGTAGAAGAATTAATGCATTTGTGTTATGGGGTTGGAAGAAAATATTAAAAGTACCATGGCCTGCCAAAAGAACAAACCATTCTGTATTGAAAGTACAGCCAGAATGCTCCTTGGAAGCCAGGATGGCAAGATTTCATCTCTTATACTTCATACATATTGTCAAGAAGGATTAGTCCCTTGGAGAAGGAGATCATATTTGGTAAGATGGAGGATCAGGGAAAAAAGGAAGACACATAATGTACTGGCACAGTGCCAACATAAATGGTCTCAAGCAAAAATACTAAGATTGATGAAGGATCATGCAGTGTTTCATTCTGTTGTTCATAAGGCCGGTACCAACTTGATGACACCTATAAACAATAACAACAAATTTAGTTTGCCTAACAGATTGCCTTTTGCACTATGCCAAATACTACTCCCTGATAGCTTAATTTTCACCATGGATTTCTCCACCTTAAGAGGATTTATGTCCCTCTCACAAACCTCCGAGCACTTCTCAAGGCCCAAGGAATACAGACCATAGTGTAACATTACGTATTGTAAGGTTCTCTGTAATGTGGCTCTAGCCTATGTTTCCAATTTCCACTACTCCCCTATACTTAGTTACATATCCAGCCAGTTGAGTTAAACAGGCAAATAGGCCTTATACCTATTGTCTTTATGCTTTCTCCTGTAGCAGAATGACTTCCCAGAATTCCTATTGCATGCTTTATTTCTGTAATGGAGACAGCCTCAAAGCATCAATTGATTTCAGCATATATTTACTGAGCACATACTTTGTACAAGGCACTGGGGATATAAAGATGAAAAAGATTCAGCCCTTTCTGGAAAATCAGAAACATAAGCTATAAGGGAGTAGTGGAAGTTGGAAACAGGCTATAGTAGCAATAAGAGAGGTTGCAGTTATTTTTGCTAAGTGCCGTAAAGTTGGTTCCACGTCATAGTGAATCTGTATAGGGTTTTCAAGGAGCACCTGATGAGCTTGAACCACTGGCCTTCCAGTTAAAACCAATCTTAACAGCCCAATGCATTAATCTGTAGAGCCATACCAGGACTCCAATAGGGGAGGTAAGACACAGAAATCCTGAATTCCACCACAAGGCAGAAATCCCATGGAAGTTTCCTTTGCAATATATAATACATATATTCTTGAAAGATTATGTCCCTAAAGGACAGTAAAGAGATACCCATCTCTGAACTAAGTTATACCTTTGGAACTGCTTAGAATTTTGGGCATTGGGTACTTGTGCTTAACACACACCAGGAGTAAATATTGACCTATTCCTGGGCCTTTTCTGCATACTAGATGGGAGCAGGGAGGGTATTGGGGAGTGGCTTGGACCATGGCCCCTTGCAACAGACTCACCCAGCCCCCTCTCCCTAGGCTCTGATCTACATGTCAACTTAGCCACAGGAGTTCTTTGGGGGATATTCGGTGAGATTCCTGGATAGAGAGTGGGTACAATTTCTGTGCTCCTGTCTCTTCACATCAAGCAATTTCTCTAGTCCAGTATGCAGAGTCAGAGTATGCCTACAAGGATAGTAACCAAATGCGCTTCCTGTTACTCTCCCTAAGATATCTGAACCTCTATGTTTTAACACCACCTACTAATACCTTCCTGTTTTGGGAAAGCGTGAGACATATTAAGATACCTCTTTCCATCTCCCCTTCCCTAACTTATTGACTAGCACCTTTGGTTCTGTCTGCTCTCCTTGGAGATTTTTTATCTGATTCCTTCTTCTTTTCTAGCGCATGTCTATGAACTGGCCAGGTAAGACAGTTTTTCTTTTCTAGCCTCTCATTTTTCCTTACCCTCAGTTTTGTTGAATATTTGTAGGAAACATGTGGAACAAGACCAAAGAGGCCTTTAAAGTCAGGATAGAACTTTATTCTCTCTCTGAGGCACCACCCTGAGCTCTGTCTTGGACCACTGTACACACATGATGATTCAGGTCCACCATCCCTCTGTTCCAAAAATCCATGGGTTGAAAGAGTCGGAGGAGCAGTTCTAGAAGCATTGGAAATCAGAGCTCTGGCCCCATCTCTCGTCTTATGAATGATGGGTTCTTGGTATACAACATGCATACCAGAGAAGCCAAATACTCTGGAGAAATTTTAAGGGTTGCCATCTTCAAAAGTGGTTACTCCAGAGAAGATCCAAACACTGGGGCAGTCAGCAAGGACTACTCTAATGAGCCCTGTCTGGGCCAAGTGTACTATATCATAACCCAGATCAACAGTGACTATGTCTGTCTGCTATACACACTACCTCCAGATTAAGAATTTATGGCCAACAGAGAATGCCCCACTAGTTCAGAGTCTGCTAATGATTGTGTATTAAACTCTTGCATTCTGTATGACTCCGTTTTCTGCTACACCTCTTTGTGGCTAGCTTAAAGTATCTTCTTCATTGTCTTGGAGTAACTGACTATACCATAAGTTTCCATTTGCAGCTCTCAGAAGCCAGTTGCTGGATTCAGTCCTAGGTACTTCTAATATTTTTACCTGGGTGTTCTGTTGCTCCTCTCCTAACAACAGAGAACTAGAACTTGCTCCTCATGCCTCCAGGCAGCATTCAACTCTGGCATATTGCCACCAGAAAATTAGAGGCAGGGTCAGCTCTGACAACTCAGAGGACCAACATCCAGGATGACTTCCCTTTTTCCAGGTCCAGACACCATTTCATTGAATTTGTCATGTCACAGACCTAGAGTCTAGTACCCTCGTATTCTTTTGGTGCTTAATAAATATGTAATCATAATAGCAACCTCAAGTCTTTTCTCAAGGTATAAGAAGACCTACAAGAGCTCATTATGTAAAACTAGTTGAAATGGTTTGGGTCCCTTGGATCTTGGATGTCACCTTTCCTTTTTTAATCTTTCCCTTCCCTCTCCACCTAACTTTGTGGGTCCAGTTGGAGCACAAGGGATTTTTAGAAAGACAGTACTCAACTGACTTCTATTCTCTTCATTCTGCCAGGTCCACCTACATAGCTCTTTCCACGTCATTTTGAAGTCTGAAAAAGAAGCACTTATTCAGTCTCAGAGGACTGTGGTGCAAAGATGAAGGATTTTTCTTCCATTCAAAGTGTAGCTATATTGGCCCTACAGATTTCTACCATCTGGAATTCTAGAATCTTTGGGATGTAAACATTTTTCATAAATCATATTTGATAGCTTTCTGTCCACTCCTACAATGAGATGTGAGGGCCAGAGTAAAGAAGTATTTCCCCTTAAACAGAAATGGAAACTAAGAGTGATTGTGTGTATTTTAATGTATATGCATGGGTGCACATATTTTAAATCAGTCTCTCCTGTAAGGACCTGTTCTGGACCAGGTCAACATTGCTTCTTTTCCTCCACACAATCATGCCAAAGTAACTTATTGGAAAATACAATGCTGATATTTGATTTCAATGCAGCCCCAATGTCAGTTCAGGTTTCATCAGGATCTGCTTCCCTTTTTCTATGAGTAAACCTAAAGCACATTGCCACTGAGTCAATTACGAATCATAGAGACAATATAGAACTGAGTAGAACATCCCTATAGAGTTTTCAAGACTCATCTTTACAGAAGACTGCTGCCACATTTTTCACCAATGAAGTAACTGGCGAGTCCAAACTGCTGATGTTTTCCATCAGAATCTGAGTGCTTTTAAACACTGCATCACAAAGACTCCTTTTTTGAATGATCATAAGAGTCAAAATAACACACTAAAGTGAACAGGGAGGAGTCTTCTTCTTTACCATCAACCAACCTGCAAAATCTATGGTTAAAACCTCAGAGTTTTTCTCACGCCAGTCAGCTCCACACAGCTGGTGAAAGGAATGTTTTCTCCCCCCTACCCCCCTTTATGCTAACAAGTCTCTGCAACAGGGCCTTCACACCTAATGTAACCCTCAAGTTCTCACAAGCTTTAAAAACAGCCATTAGCTCTTTTTACTACCATGAAAACAATTGGGGACAAAATCCTGTTGCATTTCCTTTGGTAAAATGAGTTCCAAGTCCAGGGACCCTCATCTGTAAGAACTGTGAGTCTCATGTCTTAAAGTACTTTCAGAGTATTAATTTCCACACCCCAATATTGTAAATGAGGAAATGAAACCCCTGGAAGAATGACTTGTTAAAGTCACATGAATCAATTTAATTGAATAATATTATGAATTGTTATGAACTCCTAAAATCACTCATTATAGCAGGAAATTGTAGATCATCTTTCAACCAAATACATACATGGCAAGCCAGTAGGTATTCCTAGTTATAGAGCTAGCTCAAACTTGTGTTGTTAAATTCCATTGAGTCGGGTCTGACTCATAGCGACTCTGTATAAGGTTTCTGATGAATGACTGGTGAGTTTGAACCACTGACCTTGCAGTTCAAATCGTTCTTGTGGTCCAGTGCTTATTCTATGGCACCATACTATAGGATAGGCTAAAAAAAAAGATGAGAACATAGTATCCATCTTAGATGGGAAGAGAGTTGGGGAAGAGTAGAAGAGTTTAAGGAAGGGAAGAACTGCAGAATATAGGGAAAGTATGAAGTTTCTTTAGCATAGTTTTAAAAATTTTGCTCCATGAAACATTAGAACCAAGAAATGTGCCAAAGAAAAATAAAAACCGTGATCAGATAATGGATATTCACAACTCACATTAGCATACTAAACATTCCTTGAAAATCTTGCAATTAAGTACCTTTATAACTTTGTGTAACCAAGTAATTCCAAAACTTATTTTCCCTCTGAGTGTAATGATGTCTTACTGTCCTCCTCCATCCCTTGATTCTCTTTCTTGGAATTTAAAAATGCCCATATTGTCTACCACCTAATACTACCTATAGTGTTATGATGCCCACATTTTTTTTTTTACAAAATGTTGAGTGGCATTTTGCCCCAAACCCAAACTTAAATGGACTTGTTGTTATTGTTGTTAAGTGCCGTAGAGTCGATTCCAACCCATAAAGACCCTGTACAAGGTTTAAGTTGACTTGTTGTTGTTGTTGTTGTTAAGTGCCGTCGAGTCGGTTCCAACCCATAGCGACCCTGTACAGGGTTTCCGAGGGTGTAAATCTTTACGGGAGTAGAAAGCCTCATCTTTCTCCGGTGGAGCAGCTGGTAGTTTCGAACCGCTGACCTTAAGGTTTGCAGCCCGATTTGTAACCACTATGCTACCAGAGCTCTAGTGGCAAATAAATCAATCAGTAATCAAGTATTGACTATTGTCTATATCCAAAGTGCTGTGCTAGGGACTGGAGTAGGAGTGATACTGGGCAGACAAGAATTAAAGAAACAGTCTTTTCTTCTAGAAGCTCACAATCTATCAAAGAATATCAAAACATTCTCCGGAAAGTTTCACTGACAGTGTCATTTGACAGTAGGATAGAAAGGGGCACAACCTGGGCAAGGAGTATTTTATAAATGAAGAAGGAAAGAGTGTATACTGACATTCAAAGTTTCCTGGAGAGATTGGCCTTGGACTGGGCCAGGAAGTATGAAAAAAATGTGTGGGGGGTGGGTGGCGGTAGACGAAATCAAGGTGTATTTAGAATCCAAGGCTGGGCAAAACCAGTTCCAAGGGAACTGAATATAAGCAAAGTAGGTTGTGAAACACTGCTTTCTGAAATAAGTCATGTTGTTTATATAACAATTCTGGTGTTCTAGTTGAAAGACTTTTGATGAGAAATGTGAAGAAAAGAGAATAATAGATTTAGGAATATTTTTTATCACTAGTACCCTTTGCTTTTCAAGTAGTTTTTCCCTCCCCCTTTGGATTCCTGTGATGGGCATACATCCCAGAACTGCCTCCCTTTTCTCCTGGCACCATCAAATACAGAGGCTAATTTCCTCAAGATCATATGTTTGAAAACTTAGTTAATGTTTGGCAAGCATTCTTGCATTCAGTTAGCCTTCTATTTTCCATATCCCATCTGCCTTGGCCTGGAGCTGCTACGCATGTGTCGCACTTGGGGTATTTGACAAACTGACACTCTACCACAGGAGTGTCTAACTCAGCTTATCAAATACACGGAGTGTGGCACTGCAGGAGGTGGGCCATGGGCTTCAGTTAGGATGCAAGATCTTCAGATAAGATGTGGTTCTGTAAAGAAAGAGAAAGAAAGATATGGTGAAGTCATACCCTGAGTCCCAGGGAATTTTCAGAGATAGAAGGGACCACCTTAAGCATGAGAGTAGGGATATGAGTAAAACAAGCTTAAGGTTCCTAGCCAAAAGAGGAATTCAGACAGAATTCAGGGAAGGCCTAATTGAGACTTCATGTGAGGATCTATTGTTCAGTTATGGATTTCTCTAGCTGAGTCCTATTGTTGTTGTACATGTCATGAATTTGGATCTGACTCATGGTGATGCTGTACAGGGTTTCCGAGGAGTGGCTGGTGGCCTTGTGGTTGGCAGTCCAGTGCTTACCCTACAGTGCCACACCAGTACTTCATGAGTCCTATAGTTATGGAATTTTCAGGAGTCCCAAACTTCTGTGGACTCCAATATGCAGTGGGCAGAAGAAAATTTGGTCATTTTCCGGACTTGAGGAGAGGACCAGATCTCAGAGTAACTGTCCACATGTCCCTATCCCAACCCTCTCAGGCTTTGTTCTCAGAATTTTGTAATTAGGAACATAGGCATTTAGGTTAAGCATGGATGTGAATCCTAGCTTTTCCACAAACTAACTGAATAACTTTGGGTAAGTCATTTCATCTCTATAAGCCCTAGTTCATCACACCCTCAAAGTTGGTATAAATATAATACTTATCTCATAGGATTCTTTTGAGAATGGCATGTGCTAACATGTGCAAAGTTCTTAGTTAAGTATTTGTTACATAAAAAGTGCTCAAGAAATAATGGCTCTTGCTACCAGAAGAAAGTCTAAAGTCCATTGACAATTGATTTAATAGGGTTAGTACAGATAAGACAAGGGTTACTTGTGCCCTCAAACTTGCCTATTATGGTTCCTTTGTCCCATCATCAATCACAAGATTAAAGAATACCAACTATAAAAAACATGTCCTTAGATATTGTTTACTGACACACACTCATGCTAGAGATTAGGAAACCAAAGTTCATATTGGGAACAATATTTTCTGAAAGTCATACAATAAATTATTCACAGTTCAGGGTTGTGCCCTATACTACTCCAATATATCACTCAGTTTTTCTCACAGATCTTTCCACCTACTTCTTACACATAACCCTCTGGGTAAAAGTGACACATCAACAAAGAGGGCAAAAGACAAGCAGCAGACTTGGCAGTGCAACACTGTAATCCTTGAACTCATAGCCACCAGAGTACTAAGGAAGATGTTGGGAGCAAGGTAAGGCTTGGTGCTTGTAAGATAACTCCTTGAGAACACCTGGTTCCTGTTGTTAAAAATTCTAGTTTTCTTATATC